TCACACAGAAGTGAAAAAAGGATTTCAGCAAAAAATTGGAATTGAGCATCTAGACCTAATGTATGCACATAGCCATATACACCAATATGCAGATCGGTACTCAACTTGCTGTTAAGTGAATTGCTTAGGCGCACATTGACATGTGGCTGGAGGAAGCTGGAATAGAACCTTTAATTGGAAGGTGCCTGTTCTTCCCACTGATCCAAGTGATTTGCAAAGCTGTTCCACAGGTGACACTTTCACAGAATAACTCATCTTTATTACAACATACTGTGCAACTAGTGATGTGCAATATGGCATAAAATTCATATCACAACTTATATTGTGTTGGGTGGCGGTAGCGATATATATGTCTTGATATAATTTATATAAAACTTACAATAGAAAAAAAATCACATACTAATTGAGTAGAAAGTATATATTTGTATGCATAAAAACTCATTTAATGCTTGTTTTTGTGGATGTTATTTGTATGTAACGTTTGTAACTGTTTTAAGTTGCTGCCTATCACTGCCAGGTCTCCCTTAAAAAAATCAAATTTTAAGGGAGTGTTGTGATCCGTGTTTTTCTGTGTAGTTATTTTGAGATTTTCTGTGTTTATCGTTATCCTGTTCCCTGTGAGTCTCTGTCTCTGCGTCTTCCCTGTTGATTGTCTCCCAGGTGTGTCTCGTCCCCTTGATTACCCCGTGTGTATTTAAGTCCACCTGTTGTCTCTTGTCAGATCCTCGTCATTTGTCGCACGTTTATGGTTGAGTTTCCTTAGTAGAACTGTGAAGTCCTGAGGTTACTTGTTTTCAGTCTACAGTCTTTATATCAGTTGCTTTGTGCTAATTTGCTGCCGTGCTGCCTGTTCTGGACTGTTAGGAGCATCATTATTATTAAATTCATCATCACCTTCACTATAACCTGGGTTCTCTGCGCCTCTCCTCACCACCACCAACCACACCCAATGACAGGGAGACCTGGCAATGATAGGCAGCAGCATAATCTGAGTGGTGTCCACCTGATTAAATCAAAGTTAAATAAATAAATAAAAAATATATCTCTATAGAAACACAGCAACTTTAATGTAATGATGTCTGCATCAAACCTGATTTTTTTTCTCCAGTGTTCTGACTGGAACTTGTATTCAGCTGCAATGCTGGTGTTCAAGCCCATGCTTCGTTTAAGGTGGTAAAAACAAAATGCTTGTATTTCCTCTCTTCCACACATTTTGCAGATTAATTTTTTTCTGCTCCTGATTTCACTGTTTAACCCTTGAGTGTTCAAGCCTCCAAGCGGTCTGAAGAGATGGGGTCATTTAAACTGCACAAATTTTTTTATTCTGTCCACGATCCGGTGGGGTTGCATTTGTGCACTTTTATGAGGTTTACTTTTTGTGGTTTTGGAAAGGCCATCAACCTGCCGCCCCACGACGGTTCGCTGCTGTCCTACCGTGACATTTGCTGTGCTCCTTCTAAGCATTACAATAAGACGGCAGGCAGGCTAAGAAACAGTATCCAATTGGACTCAGCAGACCTTACCTTGTGCACGTAATGGGTAACAGAGTGGCTAGATAATGAATAATTTCTAAGTGCTGTAAAGGACCATACACATCTATGGCATCAGATTTGCATAAAAAAAATAATCTCCTATTATTTTCTATGAAACAGCACACACCATCAACATCTGGTTCTTTCTCAACTGAGTATTTCTACACTGAACAGAGATTAGGACCGTCTTGTGATTAGACCACAATAAAAACAGCATTAAACAGCAAATGTGGATTTATTTTTTTTTTAACATTGATAAGATTCTTTACAACACAATTTGATTTCTGAGAACCTCTACTCTATTAAAAAGAAAACAATATGAAAATAGAGATTCCAGAAATATTTTGTAATGCTTGTAGTTGTCATGAACCCGTTAAACATGTGTCATATCATGTCATCTTATTCTGTCTTTTGGAGCTGGGTGCATTTTTACATTTATGGACTCCACATCTGCCACAGAAACATTTATGAACAATGGAGAACATATTTTAAAAGAAGCACTTGACAGGTCAATAAAGTTAGAAATATCAAAGGCAGGAGCGCACAAGAAGGATAGTAAAAGAAGAGGAAGAGAAGAAAAAACAAGGAAAATAGAAAAAAGATTTTAAAAAGATTACAGTATGGGAGTATAACAAACAAAAATAGGCAACCTAAAAGAGAAGAAAAAGAGAATGAGAGACGTACAGAAGAGTGAGAATGAATGAAGTAAAACCTGAACAGAAAGAATGAGGGATTGGAGAGCTGGAAAAGTTAAACAGAAATGGAAAAGTCTGACTTTCTTGGGTCTGATCTGTTTATTTCTTTTTTCTTCTAAAAAAAAATCTCCACCCTGTCATTGACTGACCACACACACACACACAAACCCTTCTATGAGTGTGTACACACATGTTTGCATGACTATCTTTGTGGGGACTTTCCATTGACCATTCATTTCTACAGCCTAAACCTTAACCTTATCCTAACCCTTCCAAACTCAATTCACACCTTAGTCCTAAATCTAACCCCTGACCCAAAAACAGCATTTCCCCTTGTGGAGACCAGGCTTCTGTCCCCACAAGGTATTACAGACAAACGCACACACCACACACACACACACACACCTGCCCTCGGGTCTGCATGAAACTTTGTTTATGAACATTTTCACTCCTTTTTACCGGGCAGCAGCAGCTGAACTCTTCCTCAGTCTGTCCCTGGTCTCTCTCATAATCATCCTCTGACGATAATAAAGCCCCTGAATCGCTAATTCTCCCTCCTTCTCCGCAACTGAATCTGCTCCAGCGGTCAAAGTTTGTGTAGTAAACATATCGGTTTGTTTGACACATTTTTCTGAATGGGCTTATGTGCTTTTCAGCTTTTGTCGTAGTTTTTCTGACCAGCTCCGTCTCGTATCCTCTCACTTTTCTCGGACTCCGGTTAACCGTGAAATGGCTCCATTTATAGCCTCAGAGGGGAGGGGCAGGCCAAGGAGAACCGAGGGATTTCATTGGATAAGCCCAATGTCCGTCAATAAAATCAACCAATGCGCTGTCGTGGTCGATAAAAATTATATTTAATATACTTTTTTTGTTAAATTATCACAGCGTAGGGCCGCCAGGCATGGACAATAAATGCATCAGTCTGTAGTCCAGACGGTCAGTCCTCCCCTGGACAGAAGTTCAAACTCAAACTGAATGCAGCTTTTTTTCTTTTTTTTTCTGTTTAAATTGCCAACCCACCACAGTGGCGGGTGCGTTGCTCCAATTTACACGCCACTTCATACTTTTACCCGCATTTGGCCAGTGGCGGGTGATAATTTCCACCCCTCATTGAAACAGTTACTGATCCCTGAATCTGAACACAACTGTTTAGTCCCAGACCTCTAAGGTCCCTTCACTTTTAGCATGTGACGTTCCTTTTACTTTACCCACTGAAAGTAACAAATCTGCTACATTTTTTAAAATCCCAAGTAGTGGGATTTTTTTTTAAATCCCACTACTTATAAATAATTTTTTTGTCTGTAGTGGCCTTTATTTGATAGTTAACTGACAGGAAAGTGGGTAATGGGAGAAGACATGCAGCAAAGGTCGCCAAGGCCGGGAATTGAACCTGCTGCGACAGCTGCGTTGAGGACTAGGGCCTCCATATGTGGGTTGTCCTTAACCCCTGCGCCACCACAGCACACCATATTGAGTGATTTTTAACCCAATTCTTGTAGCTCCAGTAATCTCCTGAGATGTTTTCTGTTTAATGACCTTTAATTTGAATTTCATTAAGCACATTGATCTTGTTTCTACAACAGGGTGTGTATTCCAACAGGGTAAGTTAAGAAGTCAGTGTATTAGTTAGGATTAAATGACTTGTCCTCAACCAAAACAAAATAATTAAGCCTTATTTAGCTTGATGCTGTTGACAGGCAGTGACTATGTTTTATTCTTGCCAAGCTATTTTTAGACTAAAAAGGAATGATTTCATTAAAGCTTATGAGGAAGGAAAGACTTAAGATATAAAAAAATATCTGTGGCATCTACAACTGGTGGAAATAGAATGGCAGTGGTTAAAACATATTGATTTGTCTCCAAGACGTTGGAGGCTTGGGGTAAGAGAGGATTTTTAACAGCAGAAATCACATAATTCTTTTCTGATTTTTGTACAAATGAATGAGAAACCATTTCCCCTCCTCTGCTCTCTATTGCTCCTCAGATAAGGCAGAGGAGTTGGGACCACCGCCTTCTGTAGACGAAGCGGCTGATGCTTTGAGGACCCAGCTGGGCTTCCTCCTTGGGGAGAAGGTCACAGTTGGAGAGTCATGTTTACCTTATCACAGCCCAAATGATGGACAGGTATGTATCTAACCCAGGGGTGGGCAACTCCAGGCCTCGAGGGCCAGTCTCCTGCAACTTTTAGATGTTTCTCTACTTCAACACACCTGAGTCAAATAATGAGGTCGTTAGCAGGACTCTGGAGAACCTGACTGCTCTTAGGAGGTGATTCAGCTGTTGGATTCAAGGGTGTTGGACCAGGGAAACATCCAAGAGTTGCAGGACCCTGGCCCTCAAGCAACAGGATTGCCCACCCCTGATCTAACCCCAAATGTTCCCTTTCACATATTGTCATAATATTGGTATTAGTTTGACCCATATGCAGTTATGCTCACAGAAAACCAAAAAAGATTTAAAGATTTATTTACAACAGAAATGAAATGTGCAAAGATGATGACTGGCTGAAGGTCAGGTCCAAGACCAGGGGAGGACTTAGGAGGATTGGAGCACTGAAGAGAGGTAGTGCAAAAATGAGGTTTAACAGGAAAAATACAGATGACACCTACTTGTGTGGAAGATGGTAGTTCATCAGGAAGAGGTGAGTGAGATCTGTATGAGAGTCTGACAGAGGTTCCAGAAGAGATAAACAGGTCATAGGGGGTTTGTTTGCTTTGATGTCCAGGAACATGATGGGGGCAGAACGGGTTCAAACAAAACACCAATGAAGCTGGATGAGGGGAGCTTGAGGCTGCAGGTCAGAATAGAAGAGATCTGAGGAATATCTGAAGATTTGCAGGTTGCTGACAGAGCTGGTGAATGATCTGAAATAAGATCCAAAGTTACGTCCGGGAAGCCTTGAAAAGGCAAACACAGAGGAGATAAGTATGATGAATAATACAAACGAGAGAACCACTGGAGCATTGAGGGGCTAGGAGTTACCACACTGGCTAACGTTCTAGTGTTGAAGGACTGGCAGTAGACTCCTCTTAAGCACCATCGATGAGGGTCGATGTTTTGCAGGTATGCGAAAACACACTTGCAGCAGCCAACACTGCCAACCATGCTCCTTAGCCCCTTCTGATGGAGAACTCAAAGAACTGACAGGCGTATGAACACAGATCCCAACGTCACCCTTCTCCCTCAATGGCACTCCTCCTGGCTGTCCAGAAGATGTGGATGGAACGAGAGATAACACAGATATGTGAGGGGTCACAAAAAAGAATGGGGACCCACTGATGTTCCTCAGAACCGTAGCCCTCCCAGTCAATTAAGCACTGCCACTCATGACCCTGCCGACAGGAGTTTGATTCCTTGGACCATTTTGGTTTTATCTGGGAGACGTGGAATGATGTCTCGTAGACATGTTCTGATCAAACCTGTTAGGGTTAACACAGACTGGAAAGGAGATAGAGATGAACAGTTGTGAGACTGATGACTGATGAGAGCAAGGCAAAACTGAGAAATTAACTGGGGGCCACAGTCAGACAGAACTTCAACAGGGATGCCATGGAGACAGAAGACGTGCTTAGCAGGGAGTTGTGAGGTGTGACAGTCTGACTGAAATTTTCTGAAGTAAATAATATGACATGCTTTGGAAAATATGTTAATTATGGGTTAGAGTGGTGGTCATACCCTGATATGGAGGCAGTCCAGTGACAAAATTTAGAGTGATATGAGACAAACAACGTAGGAATTGAAGTCCAGTGGGAGGACAATGTCAGGATTTATTATGAACATCTCGAACATCTCATAATAATGAGATGTTGGGTATCCATTATACCATAATGGATATTATGGTATACCAATAATAAACCCAGGTGAGTATGTATTCTTTGATGTCCTTAAGCATGGAAAGCCACCTGAAATGGTGAGAAATGAGGGCAGTGGTTCTACTGGTGCCAGGGTGAGCAATAAACTTAGTGGAATACAACCAGTGAATGAGACGGGAATGGATTGAGATAGGGATGAAATTTCTGTTTGGTGGGCCATTATAGAAGTCTGGTTCATTCTGGAATGCTTGGTTTGCCATGTCCACAGTCATCATCATCAGTACTTGAGCTTTGGGAAAGAGGCTCAACTACTTGAGCGACTTTCCCAACACTGGGGTCAGTGTTGATGAGACTGAAGGTTTATGAAATTCATATTTCTTGGCTCTGACATAAAGACAGCTCTGAAGAAGGTGTTGAAGGACCAGGCGATATGTCCTTAGTGGTATTCAGGGTTCCGGCAGTAGATGAGGATGTCATCAAGATAGACAAAAAAAAAAAAAAAGATGTTCAGAAAGTCACAAAGGAGATTATCGATGAGGGCTTGAAAGACAGCAGGGGCACTGCAGAGACCAAAAGGTATTTGAAATGACCAATAAGAGTTTTGAAAACTGTTTTTCATTCATCTCCCTGGCAAACAAGATAGTAGATATTGTGGAGGTCTTGTTTAGAAAACATGGTAGTTTCTTGTACTGGTTTGAATAATGAGATGAGAAAAAACAGTTTTTATTTCTACTGATTTGATTCAAATCTTTGTAGTCTATGCAGGGTTGGAGGGAGCTGTCGTCTTTGCTAACAAAGAAAAAACCTCCCCCCAATGGTGAAGATAATATATCCAATGATTAGTGATTCCTTTCTCCGTGGCTTGGTGTTTAGGATGGGAGATGTTGAAGAGACAGTGTCCCCGGGAGTAGATCCAAGGCGCAGTCATATGGGTGATGAGGTGATAATGACGAGGCTTTATGCTTTATCTTTGCTGAAAACTTGTTTTAGGTCATGGTATTTGGATGATGTTGTGGTGTATAGCCAGTTCTGGGAGGACCATTTGATACACCTACAGGAGGTTCTACACCGAATTAAACTGGCTTGACTGACTGTTAATCCCAAGAAGTGTACTGTAGCCCATAGAGAAGTGGAGTACTCTCGTTTTTGTCATTGGTTTTGGAAAGATAATGCCTCAAATGGGGAAGGTGGACGCTTATCAATTCCAACCACAAAGAAAAAGGTAAGAGAATTTCTGGGTATGGTGGGCCTGTACCGGAAATTCAGACCTTCTTTTGCAGAGCAATCAGTACTGAACCACCATACAAAGGGTGCAGTGCCCAACAATGTGTGCTGGACAGAAGAGTATGATTGAGCATTCAAAGACCTCAATTAGGCAGTATGTACTCATCCAGTTTTACACATCCTAGACTTCAGTAAGCCACTCATCTTCCAAGCAAATGCTTCAGGAGTGGGCTTTGGAGTAGTCCTTCAACAAGAGGTGGATGGTGAAAGAAGGCCTGTGGTGTTTCTGAGTTGGAAGCTGCTTGACAAGGAAACAAGATATTCAGTCGTGGAAATAGTGCTTGGCCATGAAGTGAGCTATCAAGACCCTCAGGTATTATCCCTCAGGGACATCACTTCATCCTAGAGACTGACCATTGTGCCCTCCAGTGGTTAAGATGAATGAGGGATGCCAATGTTTGCATCGTCACTGCAGCCCTTTGACTTCACAGTCCAGTACAAGCCAGGGAAGTACAATGTGGTTGCTGACTGTTATCTAGAATAGCAGAGGACAGAGGTACTGTGCTCTTAAGAGAGGAGGGAAGAAATGTAGTGAAGAGATCTTCATTACTGGAACTATTTTTACTGAAGTAACTGTGTAGCACTTTAAGAGCACTTTTTGCACTTTATTAAAACTAGAACTTTATTTAGCACTGCACTTTAAGCATAGATTTGTGCATCAATAGCAATTTGCACACAAGAAGTTTTAACTGTATTTATTGAGTATTTGTAGTGATTAGTATGCAGACTTTTGTTCTGAGCTGTGCACAGATGCTCCTCATTGAGAAGTGAGGTGGTTGCCTGTGAAGGGAAGATAATTCGTACTCGGACCAAGGACCTACTGGTTTGTAAAATTTGAGCAAATGTTTGCGCATAATATGTAAAGTGTGGAGGTGCTAGGATGGAGTGACTCTCTTGTCTTTTCTGTGTCCTCTCCAGGGTGTTTGGACAAATACTTCCCTGGGGTCTTGACACCATTTATAAGTTCTGGGAGAGGCCATGGAAAATTGGGGGGTGGGGAATTGTTTGTGGGTTTTGTTATGGTGTAAGCCTAAAACATAAAATATTTATAAAAAGTAAATAGAAATGTGTTTGTATTTGGTAAAAAGTATTTTCTTTTATTTATATAGGTACAATAGGAATATAAGAAATTGGTTAATTGAGATCCCCTGTGATTTAAAAGTGGTTTGATCCTTCACAGAAGGGACTATTTAAGGCTGTAATTGCACCTGTGTTTTTTTTATTCTTGATGCTGTGTTTTGGAAGAATAAACCATTGCTGTTTCCACCTTATTCTGCCTCGTCTTTCATCTCCACTATAAATCCAGCCACAAAAGTCCATCTTGCTACATGGACACAGATCCCAACATATATGCAGTATAAGGCTTCACAGCCTTATACCACTATGAAGCAAATTATTGTTGTGAAATAATATACATATTGGTCAGTGTATTTTCTTCCCCACAGAGAATGTCTCCTTCCTCCAGTCTGGCAAGCAGCAACTCCTCCCCCTGCACCACTCCACAGCCTCACACTGGGGTGGAGGGTAACAATAACGGCAAACATGCCTCCTTTTACCATGCCTCTGTCACCTCCCCTTCCTCCACACTGGGAAGCAGAGACAGCGGAATCATAGGTGAGACATAAAAGGATGACTCCTGGAGCATCACCTGTAGCAGATGAACTACTCATTTTGAGAATCTCTGTAGTATGCGAATTGTAGTCTGCACAATCTCCATTTATGCATGAAATAGGAGTTGGAAGCCATTTTGGAGAGAGTGGGGTGCATTCTTCAATGTTTCATATCAAACAAAACTATTGTTTCTTAGCTTCTACAGCTCTTTGATAGGCCAGCAGAGGCAATGGTGATAAAGGCGTAAACAAAACAACACTTAATTAAAACTGTTTTATATGACTAACAAGCATGCTCTGTAAGGACAAATAAACAATCATTCCTCCAGTTAAACAGATCAAAAATAAACTCTTATTTTATACGTCAGTGACATGCAGTTTCACATAATCACCTATCCATCCATCCACTGGTTTTACCCACGTATCCTTTCAGGGGAGCTGGTGCCTATCTTCAGTGGTCATTAGGCAAGAGAGTAGGTACATCCTAGCCAGGCTGCTCAATACAGAGACACACAGGACAACAAAGATGTACACCAGGGGTCCCCAAACTATGGCCCGCCTCCTCATTTGGTCTGGCCCCCTGAACAATACCAGAGAGCATTCAGTGTTTTTTTTCATATGTATGTGGATTTTTCTTCAACCACCAGGGGGGCTCTTGAGCAGATATGAAACTTAGTTTCCCTCAATGGAACATATACTAGTCAGTACCAGTCACTGTTTCGCTCACGGTTTTTTTTCATTTGCATTCTGGGTAAAATCTATCTACAAACCCTAACCCAAAACTATTACTTATTGCATTTTCTGAAAACTAAACATTCACATTTCTAATAATAATGTAAATTTTTCTTTGATGCACAAAGTTGGTTGCAAAAGTATTCATATCCCTTGATCTTTACAGCCACAAACTTCAATGTATTCTATTAAGTTACTGCATGGTAGACCATCACAAAGTAGTATAGTAAATATAAAGTGTAGGGGGAAAGACATATTGTTTTTTAAATATTTTAAGATTATTATTTTTGCCCCCTTCACTTCAGCAGGCCTAAAATAAAACACAGTTCAAACAGTTTTGCAGTACCCTCCCATACATGTCTGCCTTTGCTGACAGACCAGAGTTGAAAAGAATCAGTCAAGAGATACAGCAAAGAGGTCTGTCTCAGCACTGGTGGAGTTGCAGAATTTCACAGCTCAGGTGGAAGAATCTGGTCACATGACAACTAGGAGTAATGCTTCCAGAAAATCTGACCTTTATGTAAGAATGACAAGAGAAAAGGCATCATTTGATGTAATCCATAAGAAGCCCTCTTTCTAGCTTACCACAGACCATCCAGTGCTCTCACGAAAAATCTCTAAACAGGCAATTTGATTGAACAAAGTTGAACTTGCATGCAAAACACAGTGTGTGGTGTAAAACTAAAACTGAACTTCACCCTGAACACACTGTCCCACCTGTTGATGTAGATGTGGGGATGGTTTTTATCATTGATGACAGAATTAAAGATGGACAGAGCTAAATACAGGCCAATCCTGGAAGACCATCTGTTTGAGGCGCCAGGACTACGACCCTGAACTTACAGCTATAATAGAATGTATTGGATCAAAGCAGATTTATGTGCTACAACAGGGGTAGGCAATCCTGGTTCTCCAGGCCTAGTGTCCTGCAACTCTTAGATGTCCCCCTGGTTCAACACACTTGAATCCAATATCTGGATTCAAGCTACACTCAAAAAAATGAATTTTTTAACAAAAGAATATCATGTACTTTTAACACAATAATGTCATGTTTCAAATGAAAACATGATAAAATCATGTTGGATAAACAAGAAATTCAATAACTTAACTTTTTAAAGATTTTTTTGGCTCTAGTGGCCTTTATTTGATAGTTAATTGACAGGAAAGTGGGTAATGAGAGAAGGGGGAAGACATGCAAAAAGGTCACCAAGGCTGGGAATCGAACCTGCGACAGCTGCGTTGAGGACTAAGGCCTCTATATGTGGGTTATCCTTAGCCCCTGCGCCACCACAACTTAACTTTTATGAAATTTAATCATGTTGAGATAACATGATTTATTTTCGTCAGACTGATCTTATGCTGAAGACGACTTGCGAGATCATGGAAGATGACGCAAGATCATGGGAAATCACAGCAGACCACGCGAGATAATCGTTTTGCGTGCCGGGTTAGCCATAAGCAACTCTAAACAGGTGGGTTTTAAGTTGAGATTTAAAGGCACTCAGTG